AAAGAGTTGGACATGACTTAACGACTGAACAACAATTATAATAATCTTTTAAAATGTCAGGCTTTCTGCATTAATTTCCACACTCAATCCCGTATGTGAAAATAGTGCTCATTAATTTGTTATCTTTCATATTCATTTATTTTGTAAAATTAATTCTGAATTGCCTTTTGGCCCCAGAACAACAAAAAAAATCAAGTTTCAGAAATATACTTGTTAACCGAACAAGGCTTCTAATAATTAAGAGGTAATATTCTTATAACTTAAGTTCTAGTCTTTGAATTCCTTTTTTTAATTTAATTGTGTTTGGAATATTTCTTTAGCCCTGGAATAAGATCTGATGTGAGCAGTTCACCATCTACCTCTTCAGCAACTACGGGACCACCTCCCAAGCTTTGCCTTGTTTGCTCAGATGAGGCCTCTGGTTGTCATTATGGTGTCCTGACATGTGGCAGCTGCAAAGTATTCTTCAAAAGAGCTGTGGAAGGTAGGAAATAATCTGATTATTACAATCTGAGTCATTAGGATTTGTACATTGTATAAGTAATTAACGTTTTTTTCCAAATCCTTTGTTCCAGTAATACTATTTTTTCTTGAAGCTTATTATGAAGAGAAGACAAGGATTCTAGTTCAAACTAAAACTAGCAAGAGAAATCATGCAGGAACACCTAGTAGAACTGTAGTATTACGCAGCTGCTTGAAAATTCCCTGCAGCTACTTTGCAGCCCTTCTACAGTCTTCTAGGCATGTGTGTGCATGCAAAGAAGGCAACTCTGTTGGAGTAGTGTTGAAGCAAGGTGGAACAATACACAGAAGACTTGTAGAAGGCTTGCCTGGCTGCTGTTTTGCATCTTCATACTATGGATCTATAGTGGTGCCTTGTTTGTGGTATTCTGTCAAGAGATCTTCACAGGCCTAATACGTAGGAATCTCTTTTGTTTTCTAAGAAGAAACTGAACAGGCTAATGCCCTTTGGTCCAGCACTAGGCTGAATCAGGCTTTTACATTATACACTCTCCAGTTCCCTTTCCCTGTCAGTTTTCCCTAATCTCCTTACCAGCTTGCAATGAGATGTTCAGAGATAATGCCTTACCCCCTTTTTTAAAAAAAGAAATCGTGATTGCTGTTTAAGATTAGCCAAAGTTTGTGTGACCCTGATAAAAAGAGATCTGTTACCATTCATTGCTTTCTCTTGTTTTTGCTCATGTTTAATGCTGCTGTATAATTCAATTTGGAAAGAATCTGGTCTTTAAAAGTTATAGTTGGATTTAGTTTGCTGCCAAGATTTGCTTATACTTGAATCTATGGTTCCATAAAAATTCCAAAGGTTTCAGTTTGCCCACTTCATACACTCTAAAAACCAAATAGTTTCCTCCCTGCCCTTTTAAAGTGGTAAAATCGATGTATCTTAAAGTAGCATTTCAAAACTAGATTTCTCAAACTGGCCTTGCTGGAAGCTTATTCTGGTATTTCCAACTTCATGTAAGCTAAAAAAAATGCACATAATACATCATTCCTTTCCTAAGAAAAAGTACTGATAGGTATCTTAAATTGAATTTTTCCATCGTTGTGGAAAATACAGTTTTGCTCTTTTTTTCTGAGTTGTATATTGGAGAGGCAATACAGTGTTATTAGAAAAGCATTTGAAATTACATGTGTGTATGTGTAATCATTAAATGTTCTTCATTGTATGTTTTTATAGTTGCATTTTAATTTTTCATGCCAACGAATCAAAACCCAAATTTATAGGAAGTAATGAAAAAATCCCAAGTTCTTTTACTTTCACCCCTAAAGAGTCTTCAGAGAATTAAATTGCCAGCCTCCAACAAAACCAGTATCAAGTAAGAATGCTCAAGACCCAGATATCTGGGGGGAAATTATACTGCTAAATTAGACTGCCAAAAAAATGTTGGCAGGTGGGGATGGAGGGGAGGAATACGGCACCCTGTGTATACTCATTCTTCATCCCACTGGCAGTGTTTTCTTCTTCGTTTTCTGAGGATGCTGCATACCCATTAGATGAATAATGGGTATCTGTAGTTGCACTAGTCTTGTTCAGTATGGGTTTCATCATCTTTGTCTTGGTGCATGTGGAAAGTTCCTTCCACAGTACTCTCTTCTTCCAGCAGTATTCTCTTCCTGGAGCACCTAGTAAAGAATAACTGAGTAAAACTGTAATCTGCTTTTGTTACATAAGTGGAGACTTGCAACTGTAATTGTAGAAATAATGTACAGTAAAAGTCTCAAAAAAAGTTACTTGGAGTCTCCATGTTCCTAGCTTTAAAATTGAATTTAAGCATGCGGATATATTTTAAGCTTGCTGCCCTTAAAAATAGCAATTGTAATAAAATATCATGGACTGTTTTGCTGTGCTGGCCATCTGTGGGAATGGATTTCATGTTAATCTTCTTACTACAGATAGTTTACTTGTCTGTGGCTTATGTGATATAATAGGTCAGTGTTCCCAATTTGGATACTCTACAGAGAGTCTTACCTTGAGTTGCCTACAGTTTGGTGTAGTGGTTAAAGGCACCACAGTAGAAATTGGGAGACTGTGAGTTCTGGTCTTGCCTTAGGCACAAAGCCAGCTGGGTGATATTGGGCCAATCACTCTCTCTCAGCCCTAGGAAGAAGGCTGTGGCAAAACTATTCCAAATATCTTGCCAAGAAAACTGCAGGGACTAGTGCAGGCAGTCTCCAGGAGTCAACGCTGACTCAGAGGCACGTGCACACACACACAGACATTCATGGACTTCAGCACCCAGAATTCCCAGATATGGTGGCTATTTCTGAGAATTCTGGATGTTAAAGTACACATATCTGCAGGATATCCAGACTGGGAAAAGATGCAAGAGGTAATAAGCTTCAGTCCGAGTGCCAGATTGGGGGCGGGGGGTGGTGGTGATATGGTTACCATACTGTAATACATTTTACAAAAACTTATTACAAAAAAGTTTTACAAAACAGATTATGCAAGCCTGAAAGCTTTGCTCCATATGTCAGGGATGGAATATGACTAGGGATATGAGACAGATATATGCAAATTTCATTTTACTTTGCCTATTTATGTGTCCTTTTCCTTAATTGTATGCATGAAGGAAAGGAGGTTACAATCACTCATGGGAAGAAAAGAAATATATTCTGTTTATACTTAGGAGTACAGGAGTACCAAGTCTGGACACGATTTGCTGGCCCCTCTGTGTGTGGCAAAAGATTTTTAACTTCTATACTAATAAAAGCTTTTTATAAAACATCTGTTAACAATAAATATAAGAAAAGAAAAGAATAAGTTTATTCTAAGTACTGCAAGGTCTAAATACTTCAAGGAACACAGAACAGCCCTAATCATGAATGATGGTATGATGCTGTATTTTAATGATATTTTCTTGTTTTATGTTTACAAATACATATAGGACAATAATGGGCAACCTCTAGAAGCGTTTATAAACAGTAAAGAAATGAATGTTATAATTATTGTAAACAAGAATGTTATAATTATTGTAAACTCCTTATACAAAACAGGTGTTTTTGGCTTTTCTTGCTGTA